CTCTTGTCTCCTTTAGCTACACACAAACTCAATCTGATCATACCCTGTTCTTGAAGACAAATGGCTCTCTGGTGACCTTTTTGATAGTTTATGTTGATGATATTGTGGTCACGGGTAATGACACTCAAGATGTCAGTAAACTAAAATGGTTTCTCAACTCTGAATTTGAGATCAAGGATTTGGGAGATCTTCGGTATTTTTTGGGCATTGAAGTTGGCTAGATCTAAGGATGGTATCTTCATTTCTAAGCGTAAATATGTCCTTGACCTCCTTGCTGAGACTGGTAAACTTGGAGCTAAACCAATCTCCACTCCTATTGATCCTAATCATAAACTTTCTGCTGCAGATGGTGAGCTTTTATTTGATAAGGGGGTGTTTCAGAGACTGTTTGGAAAGTTGTTATATCTTTGCATGACTCGGCCAAATATTTCCTATGCAATAAGTGTTATTAGTCAATCTATGCATTCTCATAGAGATACCCATTTAGCTGCTGCAAAAAGGGTTCTGTGTTACTTGAAAGGTACTCCAGGGAAATGTATTCTTTTTGCTAAACATGGACACATGAAGCTGGAAGCTTTAACTAATGCTGATTGGGCAGGATGTATTGATGATAGGAGATCCACCTCAGGCTATTGTGCTCTATCGCTGGGAACATTGTGTCATGGAGGAGTAAGAAATAGTCTGTAGTTGCTAGATCCTCAGCTGAATCAGAATACAGGGCAATGGCACATGGTATGTCATAATTACTATGGCGACGATCCCTTCTAGAAGAATTGGGGGTTGACTACGAGAAGCCAATGATGTTCTACTGTGACAACCAAGCAGCTATCAACATTGCACATAATCTTGTTCAACATGACAGAACTAAGCACATTGAGGTTGACAGACATTTTATAAGGGAAAGAGTTTCCTCGGGAGAAGTTTGTTTGCCATTCATCACATCAGACGAGCAACTGGCTGATATCTTGACCAAGGGAGTTCCAAGAGGGAAAATGACACTATATATAAGCAAGCTGGGCATGATTGACATCTATGCTCAGCTTGAGGGGGAGTGTAAAGAGACTGGGCTGAATGGGTCCTAGTATCTTCTCTTGTAATATTTTTTCTTTTATTGTTGGCTAATGGGCCTGTTATTTCTTTTTGTTTAATCTCTTTATGTTACTGCTTAGCTGGCCGCCCACTTAAGGGCATACTTGTCATTACTCTAACTTTAATTCTTAATAAAAAAAGGATTAGAGGAGAAAGGGAAGATAATTCRATTCTTCTTCTTCTTCCTTCTCTTTTCACCATCTTCTTCTCGTGTTGCTGCTCTTACTTCTCTTCTTCATTTTTCTTCTAATCTTCAAATTTACACCTAATATTTGAGGACTGATTTACATCTGAAACCCCTTATCTTCAAATTCAGGGTGAGCAAAAACCCATTTCAGCATCAAATATCTTTCAACTAATAGAAGCTTTCATATATCTAAAAGGAAATATGCATGCATTACAAACGAAAGCACATATAGGTCATAATACAAAAGAGGAAACATATAAAATTAATAGGAAAGCAGGTAGCAAATCCATCCAATTGATCTTTGGTCTTAACCCAAAAAATGTTTCAAATCCTAGAGCTACACTCATTTAACTGTTCTGGAAATTGTACAAATATACAAGACATCAAAAACACCAAATAACAATAGTGCTCAAGTCAGGATTTCCCATAAAGATAGAGAACATGCCTTTTACAGGACAAAGGCAACATTCCCGTTTGACCTCGGGTGTTTCACATGCTCTACAAACCCACGAAGTGAAATCACAAACATTTCTTGCTCCATAGCATTCTTGGTGGACTGCAATTTGACATCTGTGACAAATAGCCACAAGTCAAATGATTTAATTTCATGTACTTCAGTCAAAATACTTATATGAAAAAACCTTCTGGAAACAAATAATTGGGCTACCTATTGCAGATAATTATTTTATTGTATTCCCAATCTTCAACCCATCGACAGATAGCACATCGTTCTGTTGTCCACTTTGCAAATACGGGCTCATACTTCTCTGTCACAGTGAAATGGTCAAGTTACATAAATGCAAAGGATCTCAGCTGCTAGTACAGCCACAAGAAACTTAATCAAAAGGAGAAGACTGTTATAGGAAGAACCAGCTCATTCAGGGCCATACTTTCTATCAAAGTGAAATCAGAATATTACTAACGTAATAGAGTTGAACTATATAAAGAATCTTCGATGCAGGTACCGCCAAGAGAAATACAAAGTCGGGTGGAAATATGACAAAAAATTACCTTGCAAGAAATCTAGCAGTTTCTGTTTCCTTAACTTTGGAGAAGACCGTTTAAAAGGATTTACAGAAACAAGAGAACGCTCATGATACTCTGCCATTTGGAACATCTGCAAATTTAACAAAATTAATGTGAAAAAGTGCTTATTATAAAGGAAGATTACTTGATCACTAAGACAATCCACTCAACAATTGAAGATAAAAAGGGATAAAATGCTGCATCAAAACAGAGCTGAAATGCAAAAGACCCTTGTGGTTTATGTGAAAATATATATTGAAAGGTTCTTTAGATTGTAATTAGTGATACTCAATTTCAATGACTGTTCATTAAAGAAGCCGGGTCTTTCAAGGTGAGGAGCCTTCAGGATTCAGAATGAAAAAACATGCAAGCTTTTTGGGTCTCATAGGATTTAGGGACTCCCTTCAAGCAGAAATTAAAACCTACCTTACAAGGTTTGAGATTGATGACAACAATGAGTTCTTGGCATATTTAGGGGATTCAGAAACAGTAATTGGGTGGTTCAGGAGGAAGTGATGGCCCATGGCTTTTAATGCACCACATTAGAGAGCTAGAGTTTTGGCATCTAGAGCAAACAGCTTGTTCAGGTATATGGAGATCAACAAACTCTCCTCAAAGAGAACCCAGATAGAGTTGTGGGAGAGCATTGATGCATTGGAGTGCTACAATTCCAGAATAATGCCTCAATAGCATTTGTTTATTTTTCAATTTTTAGAAAACCAGACTGGAGCAGTGAGTTGGGCTGGTTAAACTGTGACCCGGGCCCCAAGCTGGTTTGATCATACCCTAAAACCGTTGTCACCAAAAAAGGCCAAAAATGGCAGGTTGCCCAGTCCAACATGAGAACTGGTGAACCAGTCCTGGTTTCATAAAACTGGCCAGTCTTTTGTCAACTTTTTCTATCTATATGCAAACTTCCTAGAGGCCATAACTATGTAGTCAGTTGCCCAATTGTGATGATTTTTTTTATTTTGGGTAACTTTTCATGATCTACGCATTCCAATGTGACAAAGGCACCTTGCCCCACTATTTTACCAAAAATGACTTTTTTGGCCTCAAATCTCAATTTTTCGTATAAAAAATTAAAACTAGAATAAAAAATATATGTTAGAGCACAATGTAATTATATATTTTGTTATATGTTTGTAATTAATATTATTTATGTATATATTAAATAATTATGCATAATTGCATATTACATAGTACATACATTATATAAATTTTTAATTTATTATGTCATGTTTTGTTTTGAAGATAAATAAAGAAGAAAATTTATTAAGACAATACAAAGCAAGGTGATGAGCAATCATAGCTTTATTTATTATGTCATCATGGTTCAACCTCAGTTGAACTTCTCCACTTTCGGTTCAATGCCCAGTCTGGTTCTCTGAACAATGTTATATATGCATGCCAGTAATGACATTTTAAAATTTTAAAAAAAAAAAAAAAAGCTACCAAAGATGTCTTTTGTCGTATGCTAAGCAGTCAGCATAAAAAGCAATTTGTTTAAAATATAATCTGATTTTGTAAATGACAAGATCCAAAGATGTGCGAAAAAAAGCATTACAATCATAGTGTTGACCATGAGATTTGACATCAAAGTTCTAATTATTAATCCAAAGAGGAAAGAATATGGTAGGATGCTGAAAGTAACAGGATACAATCAAATACAAACCCATTGTTCCAATGGTAGCATTAAACCTTTGACTTTAACACTTGTCTTCCAATTTTTCTTTTTGGAACCTGTATGTCGCTCCCAATCACTAAGAGATCGCTTTTCCTTCCCACATGACCCACAATTACAAACAACTCTGAAATAGAAATTAAGCAAATATTAATAAGTTAATTTCTCGATCTCAAAATTGAAATGAGGCCAATTATTTTGCATAGCATAAACCAAGGTTCCAAACTTCAAGAATCAACAAAATCTGGCTTTTCAAAGCCGAAAATATGTCCAACAAGTAACTTTAATAGCCAAGCCTTCAATTATCACTACTTGAAGTGGGATTAAGCCTCTCATTTTCTCACATACCTTAATAAAGCCAATTAATTGGCCAATATGATGGTATGTGGTGATTTTTAAATTGAATTTGGGAATATGTAATTTTTCTTGTGATCATTTATCCCTCTTTTCTTATGCTATTTTTCTTTATTAAAATAAATAAGGCATAATAATTACTTCAAAATGGGCCTCATGTCTGTGTCAGCCCCTTCATTTTTGACGATGAATTCCTTATCCAGCACTTTGTTCATGCCATGCAATGAAGCGTAAGTCATGTAAAAGCTAATTCACACTTTCACCTCAGGTACACGAATCCTCTTTCATATTTCATTCTATCAATAGCTATATCTTTTTTTAATGAATTTCTATCAATAGCTATATCCTCTACCAAATTGTTAGTTGTTAGGTCATTCCTCATAGTTTCAACTAACATACTTTACGGAACCCTAACTCTTTTATACTATCAAATTGAATCAAGTCACTCCATACTGTTACAGTATGTGAACTTGCACTCATTGTGCATGACCATATTGTCTTGGTCAATTTTTCCCTCATTTCATTACCTAGTAAGGCTAGGTTACCCCTAGGATGCAAGGAATCCACTCATTAGTCACCTCTAATTCCACATTTCTAGTATTGACACTAAACTTACCATCCTAAAACATTTAGGTTGTTTTCGGTACCTTTGTTGTTTCTACCTGAAGCGTTTTGGGTTGATCAATACTAATTGGCATACAACCATTATTTGAGGTTGTTTATAGTTGAAAAAGGCATACCTCAAAAACGCATGTGTAGGCTGCTTGTACGTAAAATTGACTTTTCAGGTTGAAACAGCAATGGTACTAATCATTCACTTCCTGTTTACTAACTTTCCCTATACCATATACCACCAGGAGTAGCTAAAAGGCTTGAATCAAAGATGAGAAAAATCCTATGGGCCAGCTGGAAAGAAGAATTTAAATTCCACTTGGTGAAATGGGGCCAAACTTGTAAGCCATCAAGGGGAGGCTTAGGTATAAGAAAGTTAAGGTAGATGATGAAGCTCTGCCAGAAAAAAAAAATGATAAGCAAATAAGAAGCTAATAAAGATCATTTATCAAAAAAAAAAATAAGAAGCTAATAAAGATGGCAGGTTGGGAGGAATCAGCCAGCTTCTATTAAACAACTCAAGGAAATGGGCCCAAATTGAATAGATGAAAGTGCAATGAAGCAGAATGTGATTGACATGACAGACTCTTGATCTGTACCACACAGGCTGCAAAGGTTTTTAACCAGCATGCCTCTACTCCCAAGATGGTCATGGTTAAAGTTCTGTCCCTAGCTACAGTCCACAAGAAGACTGTCTTGGGTGGAGCTTGTACTTTCCATATCCAGGCACACAGGGCTACAAGATTAGAAGGAAGCTAGTGCCAGCCTGTAGCAAGATCAGGATGAGAATGAACCTAATCTATCATCACACCACTCTCTACAATTTGCTGCCCCTGGTAAAATATGATATTCATACAAGCTGGAAAGCAAGGATCTACGGCTTATACCTCCCTGTCATTCATGCTCCTTCTGAAAGAAGAAATCCAAACCAGCAAAATGGTTATGAAGATTCAATGAAGAACCACATAGTTTGTCAAGGCAGCTTATCTCAAGTAAATGTGGCACTAGAAATCTTGGTTGGGACCAAGGCAATGTTACACATAATTACAGCTGTGCACCATTTAAAGGGATTGCTTCAGTTCCACAGGAATTCTGTAGAGGAAATAAATATAAAATTGGGCAAGGAAATAGAATCAAATTCTGGCAGGATCATTGGTGTGATGACAATCCCCCAAAGGTCTCCTTTTCACCGCTTTATGAAATAGCCCAAAACAAAGAAGACTTGGTGAGTGATTGCTTTGAACTTCATATCAACACGGCTGTATGGTGCCCCAGAATCTAAATTTAGAAGGGAACTCAATAGTTGGGATATCCCTCTTCTCTCAGACATGTTGGATAAACTACAGGACATACCTCCGAATATGGATCAGATTGACAGAAGGGTAAAGAAGTGGCACAGATCTGGATCGTTCTCAGTAAATCCATGCTCAAACACCTGAATTCTGAGTCTGCAGGTTTCTTCCTGGCTGATAGAATTTGGGTCCCAGACCTACCTTCTAAAGTGGCAGCCTTCTTAGCCTGGACAGCTGCCCTGGAGAAAAACCTCACTGCTGACATCCTGTTAAAAGAGGTATTCCCTTAAACAGTCCCATTTGTGTGCTTTGCTCTGGGGACAATAAATCTGTAAACCATCTTTTACTGCACCGCAAATTCTCTAGTTCTCTTTGACTGGCTGCTTTAAAGTGTTTTAGGGTGGTAGGATGCTCCCCAGTATCTATTCTGGCCATATTCAGTGAATGGTACCTCGGCGGGCTAAGTAAAAAAAGGGGCAAATTATTATGGAAAATGTGCCCAGCTGCTATAATTTGGATTCTATGGAGTGAAAGAAACGATAGAATCTTTAAAGGTCAATCCAATCAGAAGAGAAAGTAATGAACAGGTTCACGGGTACCCTAACCCTATGTTCTTAGCTTGGAATCTTCAAACAATCAAACCCTTTCAAGGAATACCTTATAGTTCTTTTTTTACAGAGATTCTCTTTTTGTAAACAGAATACATAGAAATGCTTAACTCTTTGTTCTGTTTGTACATTCCCATTGTGCAGTCCCTTATTGTACACAGGTCTCTCCTCTATACATTAATGAAATACTATACTTAAAACTTTTCAAAAAAAAAATGTTTTAGGTAGAAACAGCAAAGGTACCAAATACAACCTTAGTAGCACAGTTGGAATAATGTATTTTAGACTAACAGTGGGTCCAAAACCAAGAAAAAAATTATTGAAATTTGAAAACATTCAAACTCTGATATGCAGAGCATGTTCAAATTTCAGATATACCATTATCTGATAAGACTCAATCCATCCACACTTCCACAGCCCTGTTTACTATAGGGGTGTCAATGGACCGGTTTTGGATTGGACCCCATCCAAACCAAAATCAATTTGGACAGATTGGATGGACCAACAGGACATATTGAATTGGACCAGTCCAGACTTAATTGTCCAAAGTATTTATTGGAATGGATTGGACCTGTTCCATCCGTAATGAATTTATATTGGATTGGGTTGGGTTGAGCCAATATCTGGTCCATTGATAGAAGATAAGAAGATAGGTGTCAACGGACCAGGTTTGGGTTAGAACTAATCTAAATTAAAACACATTTAAACAGATTGGACGGCCCAGACATTGATGGTCCAAAATATTCATTGGATTGGATTGGACCTAGCCCATTTGTAATGGACTCACATTGGACTGGATCGGATTGGACCAAATCCAGTCCAATTGACATCCCTGCTGTTTACCATAACTAATAAATATATCATTCCATTTTCTCATCAGAGATGTCTCTGAAGGTTAATAAAAGAGCCTTCTTATCAAAAGTTTGATACTTACAAATGAAGACTTGGAAAATATGTCCCATCCACGCCACAGCACATAACATCTATTTTGTCCGGCATCACAAATTGCTCAGTACTTTTGTTAGATCTGTTTCAAAAAAGTGTACAGATGCCACATGGAAATATAATTCAAAATTCCACAAGCAAAAGAGACATGGTAATTCCTGAAAAATAAGTTGTTTGAAAAAGCAAATAAGATTCTATAAGCATACTTATTCTTTTGCTGACATTTTTCTGAATCTGATAGTTCAAAGTTAAATTTTGCTTTGCAGTCGGGGCAGTAATAATCAGTGTCTTCCAGATCCTTTGACAAACAATAACCAAGTCAGTGTACCTACCTTTCAGCAAAAGGAAGAAATAGCAAGTAGAATAAAACACCATACAATAAACATTAATATTCTGATTATTCCAGTATGAGTCATGTCCAAACCTTGAAAACATTGCTGGTGATTTTGTCACACTCCGCATGAACCCATACTTTACATCCATCACAACGTACCTATTCAAGTAACAACAAAATTCATAAACAAAGTGTTATTATATTGAGAAGCATTGACCCTTCAGGTTGTAGACTGCTCACCCAACTCCCACCATCAGAATGATGCCAAATTTTCTTGCATATGCCACAATACTGTTTTGATTTTAATAACTGCAACAACAGTGAACCCAACTATGAAAATCTAGATAGGCTATTGCACATGTGCAAGTTATCTGTGAAAACAAAAGTTTTATCTGAAGTAACCATGATTAAAGATAATAGTATACGAACCCTAGCACAATGTTTACATAAAAATTGGCCTTTAGGAGTTGATCCCTTCAATTTCTTCATAGCTTTAAAGGTTATACTCAACCCACAGCCATCACAGGGCCGTGCACCTTTCTTCTCCTCAAATGCATCCTGCACAGAAATGGTTGAGAATACATGATAAAGAAAGAGAAATTTCGAACTCAGGAATTGTTAGTGCATGATAGCCATAAGTTAGCATAAACTCCAAAAGAATTGATTTTGAGATACTATTAAACAGTACGACAATGCATTGGAAACATAACAGAGAGGAGGTTCCATATATCAAAATCCAAAACTGTTGTGATGTTTCTGGTGATGTCTCAATAATCACATGTCAAATGTTCAAGTTTGTTAGAGAGAGGTTTTTATGGTGTATCTCAGCAAAGCCAGCAATTGAGAGTTTACCGGGTGGTCCAGGTCTAAGATCTACAATCGTTTTTATTATTAAAGAAAAGATTTGATAATCCCCCGTAGCAACTGTGCATAGCTTGAGAAAAGGAAGGGGGGGGGAATGACTTGAATGTGTGAAACAACTTGCCTGGTCCAGGGAGTAGCACTCTTGATCCTCGTTTGAACCAGTAGCCTCTTGAACCCCTCTAGGAATAGATTGATCATAAGTTGGTTGTCCAGCCACCACATTCATATCCTCCGCAGGCACTTCCATAAAACCATGTTCTGCTAAAAATGCCTCTTCTATAGCCATCCGAAAATCACTGGGTTTGCTTTTGTACAATTGGGTCTGCCCCTGAAATCTGAATAAACAAAATTTGTGGAATCAAAAGCTGTATTTCTTGCACTCAATGTCACAGAAAAAGAAAAACAAAACTCAATGCTACAAACCTGTCCAAATAATCTATAAATGGAAAAATCATCCCATGTTTCACCCATGCATACTCCTGCTCATCACCAGTTAATTGGAATCATAATTAAATGAGCAAATAGCGTTTTGTAAATATAAATGAAAAAAAACGCAGAGAGAGAGAGAGTCCTACCCTTTCTTTCCTATTTCTGGAGTAGCCGAAGAACATTACACAAATGGCTCCCGCAACACAAGAATTCAAAACCGTTTCAGGAGCTTGCGACATTGGATCAATAACGATAGCAGGCCAAGCAGGATACCTCTTCCCAGATTTTGCCCAAACAATGTCACCCAAAACAAAGTCCTCCGGTCTATAGAAACCCTTTCGTTTCTCGCTGTTCTCCTTAGTTGGTTTATATTCGCCTGTCAATTCAAGCTCCTTAAGTTCTTCCAAGGCTGGAAACCTCTCAACTTCAACGGGAGCCTCGTGAAGAGAGGTAAGAGAACTCCGCGAGCTAGGATTCTTTCTAATATCGAAGTTCTTCGACACCGAATAACCCATCTCTTCTTCTTCCTCTTCTTCTTCTTCTACTTCTTCTTCTTCTTCCTCTTCTTCTTCTTCATCTTCTTCTTCTTGGCATTCTTCTGCGAACAACCGAGTGTACTTAGTGCTATAGTGGCCGAACTTATCCTGCTTGCGTTGTTTCTTATTAAGCCGGGTGTCAAATTTTAGGCTTTTAAAGCTAAATTTATCATTCTTAGGGACTGCAGCTTCGGTGTCGAAACCAGTTTCTAGGACACTCGATTTGGTCTTCTCTTTCTTCCACGGATGAAGAACAGAATCATTGAAGCGAGAAGGGAGCACCTGAACGCGTCCTCGAGACGTCTTGACGAGTGGTGGTCGAAAAGCCTCTGCATTCTGAATCTTCGCATTCAAACCGTCTCGTCTCTTGGACACCGACTCCGCCTCCGCGGGGTAAGAAGACAATTCGGTACACCATGAAGCCGCAACGCTACTGAACTCCTCGCCGTCATCCCGGAACCCTCTCTGGAGACCGTAACCGGTGAAAGGGAGTATCCCGGCGGCGACCTCTCCGAGTAGATCAAGAGGGTAGTACTCGTTCTCCTTCCGCTTCTTTGCGTTCCTTAAGGTCTCGTCTTCCTCGTAACCTAGCTTCTCGGCTCTGCACCGCTTGAGATTGGGCATTTTCGTTTTCAAGTTCCGTTTGATTATCATCCTCCCTAATTGCAGGAACAACGCAATAAGAAACGAAATTTCTCTCTTAAGACAGAGAGAAACCCTAATTTCACAACGAAACCCTCGAACCCGGCCACGGAATTAGGAGAAAACGAAACTCCACATTATCGATTCCGTTTCTCCTTTCATGGTAGTCCACTCCAGTAAGAAAGGGAGCAAATTTTATCTTCCAAATCAAACAGAAACCCCAGTAAAACCCCTAATTACGCCCGCGAAACCCTAAATTGGAAAAACGAACCGAAGGTCAGAGGAATTCGAGAGAGAGAACCCAATCTTTGTTAGCGGACTAATGCACAAAGACCAGTGAGAAAACAAAACTAATCTCCGAAGCGAAAAAAAAAATCAAGCAGGAAACTCGACGAATTAAGCGGGTGAAAATCCAGCAGCACCTTGAGTGACAAGACGGGAATGGAGAGGCGAAATTCGAGCAGTTAAAGGATTAGGGGATCTGTGCGGCAAGCTCCAACTGCCTCTGGGTCGAAGGGAACAATAACGTGTTTTTTTTTATATATCCTATTATATTTATTTAATAACTTTTATAAAATACAAGTAACGTGGCATCTTAGCAAATTTTTTCTTGTTCGTCTTTTGGCTCCAAACTTAAATCCAAATCGAAAAGGGTGAAAGAAAAGCGAGGGAGATCATGGAGGGGTCCGCGGGAACGGCGAATTAATGCGTAACAAATAATGCCTTTGAGCTTTGATGGACATCGCTGATCGCTCGCGTTGTGTCTCTGTTTCTCGTTCCTAAGCCTTAGCTTAGCTTACCTCCTGCGCGCGCATTATATGTGCGATGTGCCCCGGGGCCTAATCCTCTATACACATCTCAGCCATGTCTGAACTCTGAAGCTGAAACAATTCAACATCGTTTGGACTTTGGACGAGGGAAGATAGGGTAAGGAAGAGAGAAAGATGATCAGTGTGAAGAAACAGTAACGCGAACGCCAAGTGAATTGGAGAAGACCTCCGTATATGTTATTGTATCAGGGGAATTATCAATCATGTGGCACTAATAAGCTCCATATGCAGGATCATAGGAATATCCGTACAAAATGAAGCTACATCGAATCTTCGATCTGCATCAATAGGGGTCAAATCGTGGTAAGTTGATAACTCAATCCTAATGTGTTCCGCATCTTTTCTTATCCATTCGTAATTCGAACCAGTTTTTTCATCAAAACCAGGTCAGAATCATTAGACATCGCCAAGAGCTCACCACCTGCAACGCTGCAACTACATCATTGATCCATGAGTTGAGACGGAGTTTCACCATTGAGAACGTCGAATTCCGATCAGGCCCGTCTCCACTCTACAGTAGTGTGGAGCCCCTGATTTCTCTAAACCTCTCCGAATTTGTAATGCAATTTACAAACCAAAGAACACGATACAAAGGATAACACATTCAACTGCGAGTCGCTAGCGTGAACTGATTCTTACCATAACCCGGCGTGCCCGTATTTCACTGGGGGTTCGCAAAGGTGTGGTGCGGCCACGATCGCAGCAATTCAAATGGCGCGGGATGATGATGATGCTGTGTATCATTGCTAACATGCGCACCTTATGCCTTGGATCTAAACGTACGCAATTTTAAGGAGGGAAAGGGATAGATGACCCGGATCAGTTCCAACTTCCAAAGATATAGGGCCCATTTGACAAGTCTTTCCATGCAGTCTCTTTGGCTGTTTACAAGACAGGAAGACCGATTTTMGGTCAACTTCTATTTGACACGTGGAAGATTTAATTGCCAAAAGATGAAATGCCAAAAAAGACGCGAAAAGCCCATTTTGGGCTGATTTTAAGAAGCTCCAAATGAAATTTCTCGCGTCTTTTACATTTTATTCTTGTGCGGAAATATGTGCATCTGTCAAACGTACTTTGGGCTGCTCAGATCTTCATGCAAAAGTTTAATGTGTCTTTTGACTATCAGAACTACTTCTTCCCAAAAAGTGCCCAGTACTTGGACGATGTTGATCTTTTTTTGGAGGGGTGGGAGGGTTGGGGGTTGACTCTATGATGCCGAGACCAATCAAAAACCTGTTATAAGTTTTTTTCGATATAATATCTTTTCGACATAATAGTCGAACCATTTCTTTTTTATTTTTTGGGTAAAATACAACTTTTCCCCTAAAGTTTCTGACAATTATAAAAACCTCCCCTTTAATTTTATTTTAACAAAAACCTCTCCTAGACTTTTAAAGAATTTGACAAAAACCTACCTTCACTGACCCATATGGAAAACGTTAAAGTGGTGCATCATTTTTTCAAAATGTCCATTTTACCCTTTTGTAAGTTAGTTTATATACTTTTACTAAAATACCCCCATTTGAAAATCGACCAAAAATTTCCCTTCGCCCTATTTATCCTTTTCTATTCCCTAAACTAAACTGTACGAGGAATGCAGATCTTTGATCTTTCATCCAAACTCTATCGGTTCAAGAAAAGAGAAATCCTTGTCATTTCCATCCTCTTTCAATGCCCCTTCAAACTCCATCAACTCAACAAGAGACAGTCGTTGACTCTTTCACCATTGAATGCGTCTCTCTCTCTCTCTCTCTAAAGAAAAGTACTTTGAAACATGTTAAGGATGGGAGCGCTTTCACTAGATGCTAAGGTTCATCTTTTCAATCAATGGTTCATCTATTATTTAGTTGTTCTGTTCGTTGGAGATTTTTGGGCTTTCAAAGTGTCTATTTGTTAAGCCTTGCCATTTGTTTCGATGCATCTTCATCCGTTGTTTCTCGATTTTCTAGAGGAAGTCTATGTAGTATTTTGATTTCATGCGGATATGTTTATAATGTCACTAAATTGTTAATAGCACTACTCAAGTACTAGGCTTGAGGCAACTTCTTAATTTTTACTGGTTAATGATGGGAGTTGGGTTTTTGTTGATTTGTAGTGAATAATGAAATAAGGATGTCCCCATGGTGCTTATCAATATGCATAGTTGTAGCCTTGACTATAAAATCAAGATGAATTTGGGTACTTCCGCGCTTATTTTCTTTTCCCTATTAACACAATGAATTATTTGCTTCTTATTTTTTTTATCATTTTGATGTCATAATATTAATAACATTATTGTAAATGTCCAAAAGCTAAGAGAGGGAAGAGGAAGCGGAAGCAGAAGTAAAAGAGCATATTATAAGATATATTCATAGAGGCCATTTTGAGTAACCTTAATGTAATCCATTTTATAATAGAAATCCAATTTCAATTCCACATCCTCTCTCTCTCTACAATGATTCAGTTGAACATGCCTATAAATGGGCTCTTTGGTGTCTTCACAATTCTAATGGAACGATCGACTACTAACACAAGGAATGATGTAATTCTTATTTTGAATAGCTTGGATAGTATTGAGTACAGATGTTAACTAAATTCACTATCAAATCCAACGGACTACTTCCCTTGAAAAACAAGCAAACAATAAGTGTAATAGTGTATTCAGTAAAAACAAATAAAGGATTTCAGCTATTATGAAATAGAATTGTCTCTTAATCTGATCTAACAATGTTGATAGGAAATGAAAAATGCCAATTGGTAGCTGGGTCAGCATCTCACTGAGCCTAGTCCTATATGATGTTTTTATCTTGCAAGGTGGCATGGGCTTGTCACATAAGCATTGGTTGTGGGCGTAAGCAGCCACAGGGAAAATGTTGAATGGCCTTCCTTGTGGTATCCCTCCACAAAGTTTGTTTGCCTTGAAACTTGCATGCCTAAGACTCTGTAGGCCTAGAAAACTGACTGGGATCTTGCCACTAAGAGCATTGATGTCTTGCCACTAAGAGCAGTGATGGACAAGTCGAGCCATTCCAACTTTGGTAACTGGCCTAAGCTTGCAAGGATGGTGCCATTAATCTAGTTCCTTAAAACATCAAACCTTTCTAGTTCAATCAGGTTTGAGACTGAATATGGGATTTGACCTGAAATTCTGTTGCTTGCCAAGTTTAGCAGTTTCAAACCGGAACCTTCACTAAACTCTAGAATCTCACACGTGATTTTATTATTTAAGATGTCTACAAGCTCCAGAAATCTGATTTTGTTAGTGTCTAAAAGCGTTGATAGGAGTCCCTAAAGTTGATGTGAGTAGGGATTAATAGAGGAAAGTGTATCTGGTAATGCAATCGTTGAAATGTTTGACCTCAACGGGTTGTTTGTGAGCTTAATCTTCTGTAAACTTGACATGTTTGTGAATAAATTCTAAAACCCACCTTGAAGAAAGTTGTCAGAGAGGTCAATGGAGTTCAAAGAAACCCCATTGTCTCAAGCATTAAATGTTGCTTTTTTCTTAACCAGAGTAAGCTTCTGCGGTGAAAGAGTCAACGATTGCCTCTTCTTGAGTTGATGGAGTTTGAAGGGACATTAAAAGAGGAGGAATAAAATGGCAAAGACTTTTCAAGATTTCTCTTTTCTGGAATCGATAATGATTTGATGAAAGATCAAGGAGTTGTGTTCCTCGTACGGTTGAGTTCAGGGATTATAAAAGGATAAATAGGTTGAAGGGAGTTTTTTGGCCGATTTTCAAATGGGGGTATTTCAATAAAAGTATATTAACTAACTTACAAAAGGGTAAAATGGATATTTCAAAAGAACATGACACACTGGTTTAATGTTTTCCGTCTGGTAAGTGATGGAAGGGAGGTTTTTGTCAAATTCTTTAAAAGTCTAAGAGGGGTTTTCCTTAAAGTGAAACTAAAGGAGAGGTTTTTATGATTGTTAAAAACTTCAGGGGAGGTTTTTGCATTTTTACCCTTAATTTTTTTAATGCGTTGTGCCCACTCTCGCTTTAGAAAGTGATAACTGGCAAGCGCCTTACAAGACGGTGAGTCATGTTGTATGTAGCGAAGTTGTTTACCAACGGACTCAAACTCGTTGTAAATCAGTGAATGACAATGACTTGTTGATTCCACTAAATGAGAAAAAATTTATCATATATTCATACTTACTAAGAAAAGGGGCTATGTCCACATGCGGTGGCAAGGAATGATCAACTCATGAAGTCTTTCATTCCCCTTTATGCAAAAGATAAAGAAAAAGATAAAGATAATTTAATTCTTCTTTCACCCTCTCCCCTTTTGTTTTTTTTAATCCATAATGGAAGTCACGTGATACAAGGGTGATGATTGAACTTGGATCCATGGATCGGGTTGGGGCTAAAGTTTTTGGTAGATAAGGTGAACTTGTAACTCGAGCCCACTAAAAGCCTCCATCAATGATGAGTTGGGCTTATTTAAGATGGTGTAGACATGATGTTTCATGCTTGACCAATCTCTTAAAATTTAATGAAATTAATCAAATCAAGCACTTTAATATTTAGGATGATAACATGCCACGCTTTCGTAGTCATTATCTTAGAGGTCTCATTTTGGGCATTTCTCACTCTAGTGGCAGGTCACCATGGTTCACACTAAGGTGGTAGTTATCTCTTTCCTTATGTTGGCTTTTACTCTGTTTTAAGTAGCCTTTTGTGTGGTAGCTTTCATTTTGTTCTAAGTAGCCTTTTTCCCAAACAATCCTCACCATGATTCACATTTGAGACGTAGTGGTAGGCTTCTATATCAAATGTTGTGCACTTGACCAATACACCAAAAGCCTTAAAACTAATTAAACGCACCAAGCCAAGCACTTTAACATTTAGGACCATAACACATATAAATTAGTAGGCCAAAGTGACAAATTTAATTTACATGGTAGCCTCCAAATTTAATGTGGGTCTCCATAGGTCCAAGGCCCAAGTCTATACAAATATTACTCATGACCC